AGCGACAGGCTGTTGACTGTTCTTCCTAGGCGACACATTCATCATTTCCAGGATTTCCAATTCGCTAGGTCGTTACGAACTTAATGCTGGTGGCGAATTCCACGGTTCCATTCTTCCACTAGTCCCATACCTTCCAAAGGGCGGAGCCGGAAGAATGGTGCGGTCGCGGCACGGCTAACAATCCGATCAATTTCTATTTCCGTGGGGTAATTCTTACGCTCCAAAATTGATCCTCAAAGTTGCGTTTTCATATAGATAACCGCATTTCGGGGTTCCTCTCTCGTTGATTTCTTTTTCGAGGTCTTGTGACAACACTACACGCGCCCCCCTATTTTAAGGTAACATCATACTTGCCGTTAGACTGTACCTCTTCCTCTATGGATAAATCAGCGGTTTCCAATTTGTCCTCGCCAGTCAACTCAAAATTCTCACGCCATACTGTCGGTTCCGATTCCATGTCCGAAACCGTTTCCTCTCGCACCACAGGCGATCTTAATCGATTAATGTGCCGAAGAACTTATCATCCGCCACTATAGAACTTACATTCTTTTTAGAAAGCAGGGATTGATGAGCGTCGTATCTGTACCGCCAGGACTTCGCTCTCGATTTGTGTTCACCAGTAGCCTGAAATTTTCCTATGAAGAACAGACTACGCTATTCATCCTAAATCAGGTTCAGCTATCAAGATATGCATAAGATTCAGTTTAAAAAAGGCGACCGCTAGACTTATCTGTGAACCATTTCTCCGTACTAGGAGTCTATTGAAGAGCTTAGATCAGGTGCGTAGTTCAGCGTCTAAAAGCGCTTCTAGAGCAGAAGTGACACTCGATGCGAAGTATTCACTTTCACACCGAGTTTCGCCCTTTTTTGTCAGTACATCTCCTCCACAAGAAGGTGGGTTAACAGCTACCAGCCTATGTTCTCGCTGGCTCTCAAGCCAGGCGTCTCTCAAAGTATGTAGGACCAAAAGGTTCTTAGCGATCCGTTCCCCATATCACGATTCTTCCAGAAATGTTCGAACCGAAGTTTTTTGAAAATTA